TCCCACGTCCTGTGGAACTGTTTGGCCTCGGTGTGTGGCCCTTCGCTGCTTCCTGCATGGGGCGGCGTGAAGGGTGCGGCAGGGTGCCCCTTGCGTGGGTGCGTCTCCGCAGCTGGAGGGGGAGAACGCTGCACTTAGTCACGATTATTTTTGTCTCAAAAAATGGACATTTTTATAAGCCGAGTCAGAGAGAATTAAAATGTAGCTAAGACTGATCAAGATATATCCAAAATAAATAAATAAATAAAAAGATTCTAAGGCCTAGAGAAAATAGCCAAGCATTTAGGAAAGAGGAAATAATGCAAAAAAATAAAAAGGCAATTCGTGAATACCCTGGAGTTCAGTTACGTGTGCTTAGGCAGGAGCTTCAGAGCCCTCTGCTCTAGGAAAGAGAAGCAAAGTGGCCCTGTGTGGGCAGATGAGGCCGCGACCTGTCACCCCCCACTGTGCCCGGAACTCCTGACACTCAGGTGGCGACTTCTATGGGGACTTGAAGGCCTCTGGGTTTGGGGTAACCCAGCCAGCAGGGCCAGTGTGAAGGAACCACCCCCAACCTCACCCGGCTCTGCCTTGGGGTCCACTCCAGGGTCCCGCGGCTGGCTGGGGTGGGCGCTCTTGGCACTGTGTGTTCCTCAGTTCCCGCGATACTCGGGCTGAGGACTTGGGCACGAGGGTCAGAGAAGGGCCGGGATCTCCCACATGGCCACGTGGTCCCAAGTTCAAAGGCATGTCAAGGACTAAACCACAGTGGGGAGGGAATTAACGCTGATGGGTCTCCCGAGAAAAGCAATCTAATGACGAAGCAAACGTCTCCCAATAGCTATAGTTGCTGGTAAGACTCGTTCTTCCCACTTCACCATAGGGTAGAAACATCTTCTAAACAAGCATGCACCTCGAGCTCTGGCGATTCCTCTTTCATGTTGAAAAGCATATTTTTAAAATTTTTTTAAATTTTTTATTAGTGTTACTGTGTCTGGCATATCGAATACTCTTGGTAGCTTGCCGGGTGAGACATCATGAGGTACAGTTGCAGACTTACAAATTTTTGTGCTTGGGTTTCAATTACATAATGAGCGAATACCCATCCCTCCACCAGCGCCCATCCTCCACCATCACGGGTCCCAGCATCCCTCCCAACCCCCATCCCCCCATCCCACCCTGCCCCTGTGGCAGGGTATTCCCTTTTGTTCTCGCTCTCTTATTGGGTGTTGTGGTTTGCAAAAGAGGCAATGGGTGACAATCATGTTCGGTCTATAGTCTACTTTCAGCATGCTTCTCCCATCCTGGGAGGATCCTCCCAACACCCTTTACTTGGTGCTCCCTTCTCTATCTGAACTGCCCTTTCCCCTAGAATACCCGGCTGGCCTCTAAGTTATGGAGTAATCCTCCTGGTGCTGATCTCAGCTATTCTTGGGTATTAATCTCATATTTTGTTACTTTATATCCCCCAGATGAATGCAATCTTTCTATGTCTATCCCTCTCTTTCTGACTCATTTCGCTTAGCATGATACTTTCCATATTGTACCACTTATATGTAAAGTTCATGACTTCATCTTTTCTAAGAGCTACATAGTACTCCATTGTGTAAATGTACCAAAGTTTCTTTAACCAGTCATCTCTTCTCGGGCACTCAGTTTTTTTCCAGATTCTGGCTACTGTAAAGAGTGCTGCAATGAACAAACGATTGCAGATGTCACTTCGACTGTACATTTTTGCCTCTCTGGGATATATTCCCAGGAGTGCTATTGCTGGGTCAAATGGGAGCTCACTTTCTAATTTTTGGAGAATCGTCCATACTTGAAAAGCATATTTTAACTGTTCAAGTAAAACAAGCAAAATTTCTATGAATGCAAAGATTTTTCTAAGGACGAAGGAAAACAAACAGTTCACCCACCTACCATCATCCGCCGAAGAGCTGGACTGTCCCTGGGTGATTTATCCCCTTCGGTCGTCTTCCGAGAGTGAATTATTGTCTAGCTCTGCATCTTTTTGATCACTCTATATGTACGCATGCATGCATTCCATCCTTTGTCTTCTATCCTTTGAAAATAAATGTCTTCTAATTTACTAAATAGGGGGAAATTAGAGCCATCCATTTGGGAGTGCTGGCAGGGGAGGGGTCTTTGTCTGGGGTTGCTTTGTACTCACAGCAGCTAAGGAAAGAGACATGAAACGCTGATGCTGCCCAGGGAAGTCCCCCCCCCCTCCCGGGACACTGGCTGGGGCGAGGGAGACTGAGGCAGTGGGGTGCTCGCCTAGCACACATGAGGCCAGGTTGGGACTGCCAAGGAGGATCCATTGTAAAAAAAAAAAAAAGGATGGTGCCGTAAACTGAATGCTCAGTGCTCGGCAGTGCTCAGCCTGGCCCAGAAAGCCACACGCAGAGACAGTTCTAGGGAGACTGAGGCTCTAATGCCCCTCACGGGGCCAGCAGGTGTGGCTGTGTACGTGGCCTCTGAGTGGACAGTCCCATATCAGGAGGCAGGTTCAACGCTGGGCTCAAAGCACGGCTGGGAGCAGGAGACGTTTCCCTGCCGTGGGCAGTGCCCCTCCGACCCCACGCAGGACCCAGCTCCGATTAGCCTGGGAGTCCAGCAGCGCATGTGTGTCCTCCCCAGGCGGAGGCTTTGCGAGCGCCCTGGAGGGTGACCTTGAGCTGACCTTGTCATCCAGAGGGAAAGTCAGCAGGGGGAGAGGTGGAGTGACGGGCCCCAGGCAGCCTGTGTAGAGTCGGGGTGATTCCAGAGGTTGGTGGCATTTCTCAGGCAGGAGTGGTCAGTAGGGCTGTCCCCGGGAAGGGCGGGTCCGGCCGAGGAAGCACCCTGTGCTCACGCGTGCTTTGATGTCCACTTCCCACTCACTGCCTGGCCTTGGAGGCCCCCGTGGCCTTTGGGGGGACGCTGCCTCTCTCCTGTGTTTGGGGACAGGAACAAGAGCTACGGACCCACATGTGGGTAGACGTGGGGGCAGGAAATGACCGTCTGTGGAGGTGACGGGGAGAGCAGCCGTCTCCCCTCACGCCAGAGGGTGTGGGCTGCGTGTCTGAACTGACGGCTGCCCCCTAGAATGGTCTGGGAGATCTGACCCCCAAGACACGCCCCCTTACACGAGCCGGGTTGGGCCTTAGCCCGTGGCGAGAGCGTCACTGTGATGGTTTGCAGCATCAAAACCACTGGGTACATACAGTCGTCGGAGTCCCTTGGCTGTGCCGAGGAAATGCTGAGCACCCAAGAGACTGTTTGGGGTGGTGGGACCCCATTCTTTGGCCTAGCGAGGACTGGGGGGTGTTGGAACCATGTCTGCCTGCCTTGACCCCAAGACTCGTGCAGAGCCAGGCCCTGGGGCCAGTGGGGGCCAGGCATGGGGGCCAGCAGGAGCCAGAGGGGGCCAGCGAGGGCCAGCAGGGGCCAGCGGGGGCTGGGGGTGCCAGTGTGAGAGCCCCTGGCCCCTAGGGGACCAAACCAAGCTGTCCCGTCGTCAGACGAGCCCGTCTATAGTCTGGCTTTAGATCTTTTCTGTTCAACCTGTTAAAAATGCAAACAGAAGTAATTGGTGTTTAATCAAAACTCTCAGTGTATTTTAATAAAGAATATTTTAAATCAGACAGAAACCTGCTCTGCCATATGGAACTTTGTCACACACTCACTCAACTGGGCACCGGGGACCCGTCCCGAGGGCCAGGCTGCCTTAGGCGCCACTGCCACCTGGTGGCGCCCCTGGGAATTGCAGGCTTGGTGGTGCTGGGGGGGGGGGCGTGTTTGCCCCCTCCCGCGGGGGAGGGCTGGTTTCCTACCCCCTAATCCTTGGAGGCCCCGCTGACTGTGTTTCAATAGGAGTCTGCTCATTTGTAAATTCACTACACCCCGCCAGAACCAGCTTTCTTTTATCTGAGTGCCTCTTGTGTTTGTGACCTTGAATATTGGTGTAACTGAATTATCCTGCGAAGGTATGAAGGACACAGAGAAATGGAGTGACGTTACATCTCCATGAATACTTAGACAAACCAGCACCAATTTAGGCGTAGAATACTTCTCTTGGACACCATTCAATGCCATTAGAGGGGAGGGAAAAAAAAAAAAAAAGAAAACATCAGAAAACAGAATTTGGCTGGAATCACCTCACCTGTCCTTAGCCCCTGCGAAGGGCTCTGTCTCTGGAATCTTCTGGGCTCTCTCTGCCCTGCCTGCTGTCTGTGCAGGCTGTGTCTCTGCCTCCCGAACGTATTCTCCAAAGCCAGACCAGGCTGGCGACACGCAGGGCATTATTTTTAGATAAATTCCGTAACAGGATCACGCAGGAAGGAAAGAGGGTTTGCCCTGCCCCGGCTGCAGTCTCCAGCTCCACACGGGCCGCAGACGTGCATCCCGCCTTAATGAATTGGGTTCGGGGCCTTTCTGCCCTGGACAGACATCCCACAGGAGGCGGGAATTAGATTTCCTTGCTTTGCCCCTTCTTTAGAGCAAAACTGTCTGCTGGCCAATTAGGTGGTGGAATCACTGGCAGCAAAAATGATGCCAGAGGTGAGGCTGTCTGGGCAGAGCACCGGGACCGCTCGGGACTTGCTCTGTCCGACTCTGCCCGACTCTGCCGTCCAGGGGCTCACGATGCTCCCTCCCCGCCAGCCCTGCAAGGCCCGCAGGGGCCAGGGCAGCTGAGGGCCCCGGTGAGTGCCGGCCAGTGCCCAGAGCCCATCCCTCAGTCTGGAGGGCACCCGGGCTCTTGGCCAGTATTAGAAACCTGGCAGTGTCTAGTCTTGGGCCTTCTGTGGCCTCCTCGTGGCTCTTCCCCCAGGGGAGGTCAGCGCCACCCCTCGGACCTCGGGGCTCTCCCAGGCTGGGAGGTGCGGGTGGGTGCAGGTGTGAAGTGGGCCGCCCTTTCCAGCCCTGCAGACTGGTGGCCTTCACCCATACCTGCATGCCCTGGTTGGCACGGTCTGATGCTGGCCAGCTGCCCAGGGGTCCAGCTGGTGATTTAACTGCCGCTCTCTTTCCCTGCCCAGGTGGTGGACAGTGACCGGCCCGAGGGCTCCAAGTTCCGGCTCACTGGGAGAGGAGTGGACCAAGAGCCTAAAGGCGTCTTCCGAATCAATGAGAACACGGGCAGCGTGTCCGTGACACGGAGCCTGGACAGAGAGGCCATCGCCACGTACCAGGTGAGTGCCGGCCAACGCTGCGTCTCCCTCTGCCACCTCCTGGGCGTTGTATCTTGGGGCTTTGCTGACGCCGTGGCCAGCACCTGACCGTGTCTGTGTGGGGGCCAAGAAGCACCGACCCCCGCAGCCCCCCATCTGCGCACAGCCCAGGCCCTGGGAAGCCGCCGGGCATGAAGGGAAGGAGGGGAGGCCTGGGGAGGTCAGAGCCAACGGGCTGCCTCGACCTTCTGGAAGGCGGCCAGCCTGAGCAGAGTGGGCAGACAGCCCGCGGCCCAAGGGAGAACACGGCACAGGGGGTGCTCAGCGCGGGGACCACAGGACCCGCCGTCCAGCAGGGCAAACAGACGGCGCCGAGTGCTGGGGCGTTTCCTCCGGCCTGTCACATGGGCCTTCTGCAGCGCCTCCTGCAGTGGACGCTCTGGGTGACCATAGGGGCTGCGTGCTCGTGTTTGCGAGGCCCCATGGGGGCACGTGTGAGTCAGAGTCTGGGGGCAGGTGCTGGGGGCTGTCGGGCTGGTTCTCTTGGTCTCCCTGCTCATGGGCCCGTGTTCCCGTCTGTGAGAACTAAGGGGGTGTGGGAGGGGGTGTGCAGCCTCTTCGGCCACAGAGCTGAGAGCCACAGGACGAGGTTGCGTGGTGCGTGCTTGAAGCCACGGGGGCAGGGGCAGCCTGGGTGATGGGGAAGCTCCTCCACTGTCTCCTGGCAGAGTCTTGCAGTGCCCTCATGATGGCAGGCACTGTGGGGGACCCAGCAGCTGTGCCCACCCCTCCCCGTTTCTGGCATGGCTGCCCACCAGGAAGGCAACTCTCTGGGGCCCGATTCCTGGACGGGGCTCTGGTTTTCGTCGGTCAGAACAACACCTCTGGGGCCAGAGCAATAGGATTGTGGGGATGGGGGTTGCCTGGCACTTGGCCAACCTGGGTTCGATCCCAGCACCCGTCAGGTCCCCCGAGCCCTCCAGGAGCGATCCATGAGCACAAAGTCAGGAGTCAGCCCTGAGCACTGCCATGTGTGACCCCAAACCAGACTGTGTTGGTGGGGGGTGGAGCGAGAGCACAGCCGGGAAGGCATTGACCTTACTTGTAGCAGACCCAGGTTCGATTCCCAGCATCCCAGATGGTCCCCCGAGCACTGCCGGAGTAACTCCTGGGTGCAGAGCTAGGAGTCAGCCCTGAGCATCACCGGGTGTGGCCCAAAAAGGCAAAAAGAGAAATAAGAGGAGCGATAGCACAGCGGTAGGGCGTTTGCCTTGCACGCAGCCAACATGGACGACCCGAGTTCGATTCCTCCGCCCCTCTCGGAGAGCCCGGCAAGCTACCGAGAGTATTCGATATGCCAGACACAGTAACAACAAAGTCTCCAATGGAGACGTTACTGGGCCCGCTCCAGCAAATCGACGATCAACGGGAGGGCCTTTACCTTTACCTTGTTAGCGCAGCCCAAGCCCAAGTCCTGGAAGCCCCTCCCCAGACACACCCGCTCCCTCCTATCTCAGAAGAAGGGAACGGGGGGCACACGAAGGGGGAGCTGCCCAGTCGGAGTGCCCAGTGAGGGGAGGCTGGACTGGCCTGCACAGCTGCGTGGCCACTCCCTCAGACGACCAGAGGGCAGGTGCGGAGAACAAGGACACCAGACGGACCCCACCCGAGGGGGGCTCAGGAGGCCCAGTTGGTGGCCACTGGGGTCAGAGCACAGAGAGTCGCCCACTGGACCCCGCACCACTGGCCCCTCGCCCTGGGTCTCACTGCTGTCAGTCACGTGGACAGCACGTGTGCCCCACTTTCTCCTCCAGAACCGCAGAACCGCCCTGCCGGCAGCTCAGCGTGTGATGCCCATGACTGGGACACAGGGTCCTCAGGTCCGGCTGGGAGGGCCCCTGGGTGGAGCGTCCAGGCTGCGCTGCCCCTTGCCCGAGTTGATCTGTGCCCTGGGGGGCCTCCTTATTCTCCAGGTCTCTCTCCCGGTGGGAGAGTCGGGAGGGTCGGGAGGTGGACTCCGGAGCCCCCGTGTGGGCACCTCGGGTCAGAGGCAGCTGAAGCCAGGGTGGTTCCTCACGGGAGAAACTGCCCAAGGCCCTCACCCTCTAGGACCTCAGGAGCGGAGGGTCCAGCCAAGTCCCAGCGCGCCCTCCTGCCTCCCTCCCGGGGAACAAACCCTTCACCCCACGCTGGTGGGAACTGCACTATTGTCGGACGGGCACTCGGGGGGCAAGAACGCCCCACCTCCTGGGAGTCAGCTCCCTCCTTATCATCCGCAGGACCCCCAGCTGACTGCCTGGGGGGGTCACGCTCACACCCCCGATCCCCGCACCCACCCCTCCCCCAAGATGACTTAAAGTGCCTGGAGCGAAGGCTGGGACGTGTCAAGGCTGATGGGTGCCTGAGGCCTCGTGGGGGTCCCCACCATGGCCCAAGCCCCCCTAGCGTGCCTGGAATATGCCCGTTGCTGTGGCTGCAGCGCTAATTACCCCAGGGGCTTGTCCCCTAGGGTCCCAGACCCCGTGGGAAGGCAGCAGAGCGATGCCTCTGGGCTGGCTGAGGCCTGTTCTTAGCGGGAAGGCAGCTCTTGTCCCTCTCGGGCGTGGACTGGGCATCACACCCTGGGACACACACGCAGGTGGTGGTCTCATCTGCACCCAGCTGCTGTCTGGGCAAGGGTAGCTGCTGCCTGGGAGGGGGTTGCAGCTGCTGTCTGGGCGGGGCTAGAAGCTGTCTGGGCGGGGCTAGCTGCTGTCTGGGCGGGGCTAGCTGTCGTCTGGGCGGAGCTAGCTGCTGTCTGGGCGGGGCTATCAGCTGTCTGGGTGGGGCTAGCAGCTGTCTGGGCGGGGCTAGCTGCTGCCTGGGCGGGGCTAGCAGCTGTCTGGGCGGGGCTAGCAGCTGTCTGGGCAGGGCTAACAGCTGTCTGGGTGGGGCTAGATGCCATCTGGGCGGGGCTAGCTGCTGCCTGGGCGGGGCTAGCAGCTGCTGTCTGGGCGGGGCTAGCTGCTGTCTGGGCGGGGCTAGCTGCTGTCTGGGCGGGGCTATCAGCTGTCTGGGCGGGGCTAGCTGCTGCCTGGGTGGGCCTAGCTGCTGCCTGGGCGCGGCTTGCAGCTGTCTGGGCGGGGCTATCAGCTGCCTGGGCGGGGCTAGCAGCTGTCTGGGCGGGGCTATCAGCTGTCTGGGTGGGGCTAGCAGCTGTCTGGGCGGGGCTAGCTGCTGCCTGGGCGGGGCTAGCAGCTGTCTGGGCGGGGCTAGCAGCTGTCTGGGCGGGGCTAGCAGCTGTCTGGGCGGGGCTCCCTGTCTGCTCCTCTCCGCCCCCTCCTGAATTTTCGGACCCCGAGATTGCACCTCCCACATTGCCTGGACCCTCTGCTCTTCCCCCACCCCCTGAGCTCCACTACAAGGCCGAGAGGGGCTTGGCCCGCCCGGTGCATCTGCTTCCTCTGAAACACCCTCTTCCTCTCGGACCCGCCGCCAGCCCGCCCGGCCCCGCGGACTTCCCGGGCTCCTGACCCAAGTGGCACCTGGCAGATGCGCCGGGCTCTCGCAGTACTGGAAGCTGACATATTAATGCAAAGCCTCCTGAAATATTACTCATTATTATGCATTTTGCCAGCATTTGAGTGATTTGTGAACTCTTCATTGGAATAAAGTACTGTAAATGATTCATGAATGACCAAGTTTATGAAATTCTATAAAAATATTAGCAGGTGGTAATGATTCCCTCACACTGTGAGTGTAATCTGCTTTCTGCAGATTTGTCAATACGGGCGACCGGGAGGGGACCGGGCGACAGTCCCGGGCGGTCTTGGGGCTGGTGAAGGGCTGCAGTCAGGCGTGAGACGGGGTCACGGCAGCGGGGGTCTCAGGCGGGAGAGACCTTGCTTGCGTTCTGTCATCACGGTGGTGGGGAAAGTGAGTGACCCCGTGAGGGAGAGAGAACAGGCGTTTACTGGGCACGGGCCAAGCGCCAGGGCTGCTCGGGGTTCCAGAGACAGACGGGTTTGGGTATTTGCTGAGCACCCAGGGCTTGCTGTGACCAGTGGCCATCAGTGTCAGGGCTAACATACGCTCAGCGCCGACTGCGTGCCAAGGCTCTGTGCTGGCACTAAACGTCCCACAGAGTCTTCCTGAAGACGCTTCACACCTTGCTCATTCCCAGGCAGAATCGGCCTCGGCCAAGAAGCACAACTCCTGAGGCTGTTCCACTTTTTGACACACGGTTTCTGCCAGGTCGGGTTCCTGGGCAAAGTCTGTCCCTGGGGCTGAGGGCATTGCTGAGTCCTGGGGTCTTCCCGCCCTCCCCTGGGGTTCCTCTGACCCAGGTGGCTGCTTCCAGCTCGAGCCCCTGAGTCGCTCTCGGGCGAACAATTTTGGACAATACTGAAACAGAGGCCAGAGGGCAGAAGCCCACAGCTGTGCTCCCGAGGCTGATGGGAGGACAGGTCACCCGTGCCCGGTCTTCAGGTTGGCATCCGTGTGTCTGTGTCTTCAGGTTGGCGTCCGTGCGTCTGTACGTCTGGGTGACACTCGAGCCTCCGTGATGAACTGTGCTGTGTGGACGCGGGGTCCTTGGCAGCCCCACTGGACAGCTGGACAGCCGCCCATCCCCTCCCTGGAGCCGCTCTCCCCAGAGCCCTTCCTTAGCTGTGACCCTCTGGCAAGGCAGAGAAGGGACTGATGTGGGCAGGGCTCGAGGGAGCCTGGCCGCCTTGTGCCAGCCCCATGCACCACCGCTGCCCCCCACCCTCCCCTGTGGAGTTCGAAGGGTGCCCGCGGCAGATGCCCTTTGGCACAGGACAGGACAGTGCCTGCGGCAGATGCCTCCTACAGGACAGGTGCTGGCCAGGTCTGCAGGGGTCTTGCAGACCCTCTCTCTCTCCCCACTTCCCCTTGGGGTCTCTCCCTGGCAGAAGCTTCCCCCTGACCCCCACGACCCCCACAGGGTGGCCTCTCTGCTGCCACACCCATGTTTAGGATGCGGCACTGTTGGGGGCTACCAGACCAGGCTCCAGGATGGG